TATATATATATATATAAATCTACTTTTAATAAGCCTGCAGGCAATCACAAAGTATATTGGAAATAGAAAGTTAAAAATATAGTTGAAGACCAAGAAAAGTATTAACAGAAAATTTTGTTTAAATGTGACTTTGCTTGAGCATTGATCATTGCAAAATTAATAGAAAGAAAGAAGGGTGCAACCTTAGGATAATGTGACAGGCTCAAGCATAACTGCTACAGCAGACCCAAATGCATTTCCAATGCGCTTTTACACATTATCTAAAAAAAAAAAGAAAAAAGAGCATCATCAGAACACTTTCAAAACATGGCAACAGTATTTGATGTTAGGAGTGAAAAGAGATTTATAGAGGTAGCAGTTGTTGAAAATACAGAAAAGTGTCTTACATTTAAGACTAATTTAATGCTGCAATTAGAGAAACCATTAGACTGCAAAAAGATAAAATCGAATAACTATGAAAACATTTTAGATATGCTATATGAAAAGAACTTTGGGGTCATTTACAAATTATGTCACGCAATTTTAGACCGTTTTAGACCCCCTCTCCCCCTCGTCACAACATTGTAACACTTTAGTAACAAATTCCGTAGGAGTTGTGACAAAACTACTAATCTTTCCCCCCCCCCCCCCTCCTTTGAGCGTGAGGTATTTTACGGACAACCTTTTTTGGAGAAGATCCACATGCCTGTCAATATCACAAAGAAAATTACAAAAAGAATCCTAATCTGCCTTAAAGGACTTGTTAGTATGGTACGGCATGGTTGTTAGTATGGTAAGGTGATTCAGATGTAGACCAAGAATGAAATAAAAGTTTTGGCGAAAGATGCGTTATAATAAAAAATTTATTTTTGGAGCTTCGAGGTCGAGTTCATGTAAAATTAATAATTTGTTGAAAACATTTCCATCTTTGCAGCTGACTGTAAGCAGCTTTGGTTTTTCCAGTTAAATGATCAATTATGCTATGTCATATTTTTAAATTTTAGTTTCACCTTTCTTAAGATAATTTATGAACAAAATATTGCAAAAAATACAAATTCTATAACTTGCCTACTGACTTTGAAGATTTTAGTTATTTTGGATAACTTTTGCTACCTGCTGTGTCCACACTAGCAATCTTTTTTAGGTGTATAAATGTGTATGAGTTTATAATTCATCTACCTATGCAAATGATTTTAGTTGATGGAACTAGAGATAACTCCTTTAAGTAGCGTCCATGATAGTATATGTAAAAAGAGAAAAAGATGCAACTTTACAACAATAGGAAAGAGACTCAAGCTTAGCAGATGGAGCAGGTCCAACTATGATTACAACGCGTTTTTTGACCTTGTCTAGAAGAGAAAGAGCATTAGAAGGACCAGCCCGAATATGACAGCAGTTTCATACAGGCACAAATAAGAGATTTGTCGAAGTAGAGAATGAAATCAGGAGCACAATAAAGAGAAGCAATCTTAGCAGATGCTAATTGGTTGTATATATAGTTTCCATGAAAAGTCACTAGTAAATGATAATCCAAGGAGACATAAAGAAGAGGACTCAGTGAGAGGGTTGCCATTTATTAATATAGGAATGTTGACAGTATTGTAATAGTTATTAGCAGTAAATAACTGAGTTTTGTTAGAAGTAAAATTTACAAGCCACTGCGAGCCCCAATCTGTTACAGAAGTAAGATCAGATTCAAGATCGGCTGCCTGTTCTAAGCGATTGAAAAGGGAAGACTTTTTGGCAAGACAGGAGTATAAAGATGAGTCATCATCAGCAAAAAGTGCTACTTTAGATGTAAGGTTGTCAGGAAAATCATTTATGTAGATAAGAAACAAAACAGGCCCAAGGATAGAACCTTGAGGTTCTATCCTTGGGCCCCAGAAGTTACTGAAAATGAAAAAGAAATGAAGTCAACCTTTGAGGATGACTTAGATAAATCGGTTAGAAAGAAATGGTTTGATAATCTCTAGAACTTTCCCAGATACACCATATGAAACAAGCTTATGGAGAAGACCAGCATGCCAAACTTTGTCAAAAGCTTTAGACATGTCAAGAGCATTAACTCTAGTCTATCCGCCTCTATCATATACAGAATAAAATCTTTCAGTCATAGCAGTTAGCAAGTCAGCCATAGAGCGAGAGGATGGAAAACCGTATTGATTATCTGACATTAAGTTATTAGGCTCAAGATGGGATTTGAGAAATTTGTTGATTAAAGACTCAAAGACCTTGCTGAAAAACAAATATATTTTGGACTTAAGAAACAAGAAAATACATATTCATGCAATTGTAATCCATATTTTGTAATTCAAATGATGCCCTAATTATCCAAAATCTTTTTAATAATTAGGGCATCATTTGGATTTTGGATGACCAGGGCATCATTTCAACATCAGTTTGACATTATCTGTATTTGTATGGTGGTGTTTAAATTTAGCATACCAGTAAAAAATAGTTAATTTTCTTGATCTCTATAACACTTATCATGTTATAAGTGTATTGGATTATTGTTTGGTCTCAACAGTATTTTTCGCTTAGCAGTGTTGGTATATTTATGTCAAACTGGGGAGTGAGTATATCCCTTTAGCACCTAATACGCAATAGTATGATTCCAATGGTTTTATGTATGTGAGATGCATGGCACAAAATTTGTCAATAGATAGTTGCCACATTTGTTAAGGATTATGGATTTTATTTTATATATGTTATCAATGATAAAAATGTATACAATCAGATGGGTACATAGAATATAAGTACAAGCCTAGAATCTAAATCTCTAGAGATTAGAGATTTAGGTTTAAGTAGCAAATCAGAACATGTATATTTTATTCTTTAAATTTAAGTTTGGTTTAAAATTTAAGAAAATTATGTTACTTCTTTACATCTTTATATCTTTATATCTTTTTTTTTTTTTTTTAATTATTCACCTCCCCAAGGCCCGAAGAGGCCACTACAGTCGAGGAGACTACTCATTTTTTTGTAGTTTTTTTTTTGTTTTTTTAATTTTTTTTTTTTGTTTTTTTTTTTTGTAAATCGTGGTACAACCCTCTCTCAACTCTTTAACTCCGAAACACGAACCTTGACAAGCAAGACCGCTGCACGGAGAAATTAAGTTGAGCGCGGTATTTCCAGGGATGTGGTGGGAGTCGAACTCTTAACCTCTCGCTTACAAGGCGAGCGCTCTTACCACTACACCACTACTGCATTATCTTTATCCTTTCATATCTTTTTAATCCATATAAGTAAAAGATCACTAAAATACATCTTTTATAGTTACACCTTTGTTAAATCTTTGTTACACCTTTGTTGCAAATTTCTTATAAATTTGAATAACCTTTATCAAATTTTCCAAGTTGATTTTTTTAATACTTAGGGGAGAGCGAGACTAGATGCAGCAGGGGTATGTTGCAACAGTGCCATTTAAAAGATGTTTTTCATGTTTCCAAATATTTTTAAATTATATAACAATAAAGATAACATATCAGCTCAAAATAAAGTTATAATAAAAAAAATTATAGTATTAACATAAAAAATGATTAAGTTATTAAAAAATTTTTTTCTCAAAATATAAAATTTTAACTTAAATTTTTAAAGTTTTTTTGGTATTACTGAAAACAAAAAGGTATATGAACAAACTAAAATAATGGGAGTTAAAAAAATATTTTTCAAACACAAAAAGCCGAAAAAAAAGAATTTAAGATTAAAGTAAATAGTTATATATATTGATTAAAGTAATCATGGTGTCTAGAGGGTAAGTTGCTTCAAATTCATAAGGGTAAGTTGAATTATAATATAACAATTGGTTTGAGCACTTTACTAAAATAATGGATTTTTTAATTATAATAATAGATCAATTTGTTTAAAAAAATTGTTTATAATGTCATATAATTATAAATTCAACAAACATGTTAGAACACTTAAAGTTTCACAAAATAAAGGTATTTAGCTCAAAGAAAATACTTGCGAGTCTACAGATATTTTCTGTATTTCACCTCTTCTTTATTATATGTATAAAGTTTATGTGAAGTAATACAAATTTGAAATAATAATTACTAAGTAACTAATAGTTTTTTTGAGTTCTCTGCAAGTTTTTTCAAAGTATTGTATTGCAACTTACCCGTTTCACTGTTGCAATTTGCCCCAGAGCAAGGTGAGTTGCAACATTTTTTTTTATATTTTGTTTTTACCATTCCTAGATAATTAGGTTTTATATTATATCTATCAATGTTGGATTAATATGTCACTAAGACCTATTTTAAGTTTAGGAAGTTTATTTAATCCATCTGCTAAAATGCTTTTATTTACACTTTATTTAAATTAAACTTATACAGGGTGTAGAGGAAATGAATCTCAAATTTTGAAAAATGCAGTAATGGGTATAACCAAAAACATTTTAATTTCAAAATGTAGATACAAAATTTATATCATCTATATGGCACTTGATATTTGGAATTGTTCTTTGTTATTATAAAGTCATATTCAGCAGACTTTTTATAAAGTCATGTTCAGACAAAACTTCTAGTATTTTTTTTGAATGGTCTTTTATAGTTGGTTCAAGGACCAAGGACAATATTTGAAAAACTTAGTATTGAGGTAGCCCCTCAGAAAAAAGGTCTTACAAAGTTAAATCAGGCATGGATGTTGGCCATGAAAATGTCTGCATAAAGAGACCACCTGACCTGGTAATGTATCCAGTAAAATTTGACTCATTTTTGAAAATAGATGCTCACCCAACTACAGGAGTTGTTTCTGCCACACCTTGTTACTGCAAATTTTAAAATTTTATAAATATCAATTTAATAAATATTAAAAAATAAATATTAAAAGTTTTATTGTAAATAAATTTATAATAATATTAATAAATTATTTTAAATAGTTACTTAATATTTTTAATTTCATTTTTTTTTTTTAATTTAATTTTTTTTTTTTTTAAGAAAAATATTCTTTATATTTATTTTCCTTTAATTTCTCCATTGTTTATTCTCCTTTATATTTATTTCTTTGAAACCTTTCTAAAGGTGTTATATAGGAAGACGATACTTGGAAGCAGCTATCAATGCCCTTGAAAATGAAGCAACATTTCTTATTACGTGGAAGCCTTTTCTCATTGATGCACAGTGTCCTTCTGAGGGTATTCCTTACAATACATACTTAATTAGTAAGTTTGGAGAAAAGATTGCCAAGCAAGAAATGAAAGGACAAGGCCCACTTGGAAAAGCTGGAAAAAGTGTGGTATGATGTTTTGTAATCGTTTTAAACTGAATATTATTAATGTATTAGTTAATGTCTTTGTTTATTTTAAGGGTATAAAATTTGATCCTGATCGGTATGTAGTAAATTCTATTAAAAGTAATCTATTACTACAGTTTGTTCTTGAGCAATATGGCCAAGAAAAGCAATCTAAAATGCATGAGCTTCTTTGCAAGCAATATTTTGAAGAGTCGGTGAACCTAAATTCAGACACAGTTTTAAAGCAACTTTCTGAAGAAGTTGGCGTTGATTCAGTTTCTGCTGCTCAATATTTTACATCTCCTTCAAACGTAAAAAGACTTTTTAATGATCTCAAAAAATTAAAAAAGCGTGGTATTGTTGGTGTGCCTTACTTTCAGTTTTCTATTGATGGAGCTACTGATATTCAACCAGTTGGTTTTTCGGGAGCTCAGTCTAAGGCAGGGTTTATTGATACTATTACAAAGTTATTAAAAGAGTATCAAAAAGGTACTAAACCAAAGCAATAGAGTTTTTCTATTCTTTTTTTAAAAGTTTATACCAAGCTGGTGAAGACAAAAAATCGTAGAAAATTTTGGGGCAACATTAAATGTCACGTTTAGCACCCAAAAAAATTAAAATAAATTATTTGTTTTTTTTTTATTTTTTATTTTTTTTATTTGTAGCAAAAAAACTTTTAGGACTTGTAGAACATGGAGTTTAAATAGAATGTATTTTATATATATATATATATTTATATATATATATATATATATATATATATATATATATATATATATATATATATATATATATATATATATATATATATATGTATATATATATATATATATATATATATATATATATATATATATATATATATATATATATATATATATATATATGTATATATATATATATATATATAATATATATATATATATATATATATATATGTATATATATATATATATATATATATATGTATATATATATATATATATATATATATATATATATATATATATATATATATATATATATATATATATATATATATATATATATAAAGCACTATGTAGAAAAAAATTTTGTGGGGTCATGTAGACTAAAATAGTCTTATGAAACTGATTTTTTTTACTTTTGCTCATTACATATTAACTTTTTATATTGTTAGTTACATTATCATGTACACTTTGTTTATATTGAGGATGTAATTTTTTTTTAATTAGAAATGTTTTAAAACTTATTTAAATAAATTTGAGGGTTTTTATTTAAGTCAATTTTATTCTAGAGATTTTAATATTGTTCGGTTCGGTTTTTTATACTTTTATTTCAGCGATTTTATCATGATTGTTAATTTAGATTTTTATATTATTCAGACAATTTTAAAGTTTTCAATGAATTATTGTAATTTTAAAAAAAATATTTAAATACTAATCTCCTTGTTTTTTAATGTTTTTAATATCAAAATTTAAATTTCTTTTGATGAAAATGTATTTATCGCAGAGTTATGTTTTACATTTTTATGTATTACAAATATATTTATCCAATAAATTATTTATAAAATTGTTTAGTTTTTCGTTATAAGTTAGAAAAAAAAAGTCCTTATAAAAATTGAAATAACATAAACTTGCATTATATAATTGTACTATATAAATACTTGGAAGTCTTTGCCAACCTTTACTGACATAGCGTCAAATAATTTGAGCAAAAAAATGTCTATGCTAATGAGTCACTCAAACAGATCATTAAACGCAGCTCAAAGTTTTTTTATTTATTTTGGGGAGTATTAGAAACTGTTTATCTATTAGAAATCTATCTGCTGAACTAAAGAAATTTTCTGTTGAACTGAGGAAATTTTTCTGTTGGCTTAATGAGGAAAGTCTTTATTAGTTCCAATAGTAATGAAAGAAGTTTCTTTTTTTTAAATTAAACAAATTTTCACTATCAGGAAGTTCATGAAACTCGATGAATAAAAAAACAAAACAGAATAAAATAGCAAAAATGATCAAAAAGGGCTTTTCAAATATAAAATATGAAGAAAATAGCCAAAAATATATTTCTGGGGAGGTCTGATCTCTTAAATTAAGTTTATGTTTTAAATAAGTTATGTTCAATTGTTTTGGTTTTGCTACTTTTTTTAAACTTTTATTTGTCTTTTGTTTAGAATAAAATTTTTTTCAACTGATATATAAATAATAATTTTTTTTAGTTGTGACAAACTAAGTTTGGTATGCACATAATTCTACACGTTTACCAATGGTATTGCTGCTATAGACTGATGAAGATTTAATTAGTTATCTAATATAATTGATAGATAATTAAATTTGTTGATGGGGTTCAACTGTCAATTTTACCCCTATATGGGGTAACATTGACAGTAGTAAGTTTATGCTGTAAATGTTTTTATTTTAATTTCTGAAACAACGAGATAATTTATTCTGTGGATTTTGAGAGTGTCGGTTTTTAGATCTGTTGATATTTAATATCTTGGTGCATTTTAAGATTAACTTTTTAAATTTAGGGATCGCTTTGTTTGATTCCATTTCATGTAATCGTGAATGATACATCAGATTGAAGCATTCCACCAACTTTTGCTTGATTCTTGACCTATGGGGTGACTTAAGCGCTCCTGTCTATGTACCCCAAAACTGAAATATGCGTTTAAAAAAAAAAATGCTAAAAAAATAATCTTACATGCTTAGTATTTAAAAACAACATCATAAAAACACATGTAAAATGATATTATAGTATGTTTTTATTTATCTTTTAACTATTGTCTTTTTGCAACAAAAAAACTCAAAATTATTTTAATTTATGCCCGCCATTTTGTGTTTTTATTTATACTTATTATTATGCAGGTTAAAATAGTTATTTTTGCTCATTTAACATCTGACTTCAGCATCTGTTAAAATAATTTAAATAATAGTTAACGGGTGACAGGTAAAAACATTTAATCAAACATATTTCAATGTTAAAATAAGTTTGTTGCCTTACCCGTGTTACCTTAATCATAATTAAATAAGAAAAGCACTATTTTTTGGAATTCGCGTTAGACCAATAATATTTTGGTGTTTATTTTAAATATAATAACTTCATCACTATACAGTTTTATTCATAAAAAAACAAAATTTTCGTTGTTTTAGTAAAAATAATTTTACCGAATTTTTATCCAGTAAAACTCGTCAATCGTTTAAATTTTTTAATTTATTAGGCCAGGTAAATAAAAAAAACATTTGCTTTTACTCAGTAATTGGTCAGCTTTACGTTAATAAAAACTTCGTCAATTTTGCTCAAACTTTTATTCGCGTAAAGCTAAACAACTACTTAGCATTCTTGGAGTAAATAGCTTTACGTTGATAAAAATTTAAGTGAGTTTGCTAAAATTTTTATTTACGTAAAGCTGAATTACTCCAAAAACGCTGAGTACAACCAATTGCTTTTTTTTCAATTCACCTGGCGTTATCGTTATGAGTTTAGTAAGTGCCCGTATAACAACTATTTTTAAATCTGGTGATAAGTCAAATATCTTAAACTACAGGCCTATATCCATAATACCTTGCTTTTCAAAATTGCTAGAGAGAATAATGCATAATAGGTTATATAATTATCTAACTGAGAACAACATGATGTACTGCAAGCAATTTGGTTTTATAAAAAAAAATTCCACTAAAAATGCAATAGTTGAACTTTCTAATCAAATATCTAACGCCTTTGATAATGACTGTTATACATTAGGAGTTTTTATTGATCTGTCAAAAGCTTTTGATACCGTAAATCACAATATTCTAATAAAAAAACTTGAAAACTACGGAGTGAAAAATAAAAACTTACTTTGGTTCAAAGGGTATCTGACAAACCGAAAGCAATTTTTATATTATGATCAAAATAACACAACTCCATATTCCATAACTTGCGGGGTTCCTCAGGGCTCAATTTTAGGACCACTCTTGTTTCTATTCTACATAAATGACTTATACCTAGCAACAAATCTTTTAGACCTAACTTTGTTTGCTGATGATTCCAATCTTTTTTATTCCCACAGAGATATTAAAACACTTTTTAAAATAGTTAATGAACAGTTATGTAAAGTTAATGAATGGTTCGTGAGTAACAAACTTTCATTAAATGCGGATAAAACAAAATATATACTCTTCCACAGTGGCGGAACTACTGGACGCAGGACCCTGCGTTGCGGGGGGGCCTACCAGCTATAGGGGGCCCTCATATAAAAAAAGTTATACTCTCAATAATATTTATACTATAAAACTCTTTTCCGCAAAAAAAACATTCTTTTGCGGGGGGGGGGGGGGCAAATTTTGAAGTTCCGCCACTGCTCTTTCATAAAGTAAATAAATCAGAAAACATTCCTCTAAAATTACCAAATCTTATAAATAATAGTACTTATATTAAAAGGGGAACAAACGTAAACTTTTTAGGAGTAAAACTGGATGAAAATTTACTGTGGTATTCACATATAAATAGTATTGAAATAACACTCTCAAAAAATATCGCAATGATGTTTAAGGCTGAACCTTTTTTAAATGTAGCATCCCTGAAAAAATTGTACTTTGCCTTTATTCACAGTTATTTGTTTTACTGTAATATTGTGTGGGCTACTGGCTATACAAAACTTAAGAAAATCTACAACAAACAAAAACATGCATGCAGATAGTGTTTGGAGCCTACAGAAATACTCCTTGCGAACCACTTTTACATGCACTCGGTGCTTTAAATGTGTATAAACTCTTTTTTTTTATTGTTTATGTTTGAAACAAAAATGGGGTTGTCCCCAATAATTTTTCAAACCTATTTTAATAAAATTAATCATAAATATTCAACAAAGTTTTCTGATAACAATTTTGTTCTTCTCAAGTATAATTTAAAATCAACCTCCTATTCAATTAAATATCACGGACCTTATCTGTGGAAAAAATGTCCAGATATTGTCAACAAAAACAAGACTACATTAGAGCAATTCAAAAATGAATCAAAACAATTATTAATATTCAGAGATCTTTTTTTTTTTTTTTTTTTTTTTTTTACAACACAAGTATCCGTATATATTTCAATAAAACAAAATTACATATTTTTACATATAAGTGCAAAACATACAATTAAACAATTTTTGTACCATTGAAATTTTTACAAGACAAAAGAAATTCAAAATTTTGTTTAGCGCATGCGCGTTGTACAGTGTACAAAATAAGGTAACTATTCGTTGTTTATAATATAAAGTGCTGGCTATTAACCCATGAATTTAAAAAATATACGCAAGTCCGTCGTACCACAGGGCTACTAGGGACTTGCTTGTGCACGTTGTTGAATATATATATATATAAAATTATTCTTAAAAAATAGTTTTCTTTGTTGTAAGGAAACTCGCAGAAGACTAAAATAGTCTTTTCATCGAGAACCTTTAAAACATAAAATAAACTTTAATGAACAAGTTCAACAAATACACATAAGTATTTTGGTATCTACTATATAGTAGAAGTAGTAGGGCTTTTTATTATTACTATTTTTCACAAATTGTTTAATACATTTCGATGATGTTGGTTAAGTTAATTATGATATGTTTTAGTTTTTTTTTCAGAGCAATAAGGTTATCCATTTTATTAAGTTCCATATTTTGAAGTATTATTTTGTTATGTAAGTATGGGCCACGGTATATTAAAGAAAATCGCGAAAATTTTGTTTTTTTCAAAAGCAGGGTGAAGTTGCCTGTTCCTCGTGTGATATATTTGTTTGCGTTGATATGAAAAAAGCTATCAGTAAAGTATTTCGGAACAAGTCCGAGTTTGGATTTTAGCATGAATAAGATATTTTGGTAAATATTTATTTGATAGATATTTAATGCATTCAAATTTTTAAGTAAAGTGTCGGCATGAGTGAAGTTATCTTTATTATAAATTAATCTTGATGCGTGTTTCTGATGTAAGTAGAGTGAATTTAATTTAGTTTTATGGGTACTTCCCCATGCAATATTAGCGTATGTTAGGTAACTTTGAATATAAGAAAAGAAGAGAATTTTTAAGTTGTCTTGGGAAAGCATAGGTTTGGCTTTGTAGAGTACGCCGATAGTTTGTGATATTTTTGTGTTTATTGTATTAATATGGGTTTTCCAATTAATATTCTGGTCAATAATTATTCCAAGAAACTTAGTTATTTCAGTTCTTTTGATGTTTATGTTATCAATTTTTAGTGAAGGTAGAAGGTCTGGTATAAAGTTTTAAAGACGGTTGGAGTGAAACAAGATATATTTTGTTTTTTCTGTATTCAAAGATAATTTATTAACTTTAAACCAGATGTTGAGGTTTTCGAGGTCAGTGTTCATAGATTCGTAAAGGTCGCTTATAGACGGCGATGAGTAAAATAAATTTGTATCATCAGCGAATATTATTACATCAAGTTTTTTTAGGGCTTTTGGAAGATCGTTGATATATATTAGAAATAAAAGGGGACCCAGAATGGAACCTTGGGGAACTCCGCATTTTATTTCTAGTAGGTCTGAATATTTATTATGATCTGTAACAACGCATTGTTTTCTGCTATTCAGGTAACTTTTGAACCAGTCAAGGGATATATTTTTAACACCATATCTTTCCATTTTTTTAAGTAAGATATTGTGATTAACTGTGTCGAACGCTTTAGATAAATCTATAAAAGTCCCTAATACAAATTGCTTTTTATCGAAAGAATTACTCATGCTATTTACAAGATCTAAAATGGCATGTTCGGTTGAGTGTTTTGTTTGAAACCCGAATTGTTTTTTGTTTAAGAGGTTATTTTGAAGGAGATATTCGTATAATCTATTGTAAACTATTCTTTCAAGTATTTTAGAGAAAGTAGGCAGTATAGAGATCGGTCTGTAATTATTTAATAAAGATGTTTCGCCTGTTTTAAAAATTGGTATAATTTTAGCTGTTTTCAATTTATCTGGTACAGTACCTGTTTTAATTGATGATTTAAATATTTCGAAGATCGGTTTGCGTATCTCCAAAAAGACATCGATAACGATATTGCTACAAATATCATCTATACCTGGAGATTTATTTATTTTAAGAGATTTTATCGCAACTTCAAGTTCTTTAATTTTTAGTTCGCTAAGTGCTAATTCGTCATTGTTATTAGTTAAGTATTTCTCAAATGAGTTGTTTGGACAATTAATTTTTGTAGCCAGGTTAGGGCCTATGTTAACGAAAAAATTGTTAAACTTTTCTGAGATTACGTCACTACTGACATACTCTTTATTATTTATAACAACTTTAGTAGGTAAACTATTTGGTTTGCAATTTTTGTTCCCAATTATTTCTTTAATTACGTCCGACGTTTTTCTAATATCACCTTTGAGTTTTTTATTTTATTTGAGTAATAATTCTTTTTTGAAATCTTTTTGATTTTTTCAAACAAATTTTTATATTGTTTGTAAGTATTTAGGTTTGCTTCATTTCTATTTTTTAAGTATTTGATATAAAGTTTTTTTTTTTTTTTTTTTGAAGATTTTTTAATTCCTTTGGTGATCCACGGACATTTTAGATGTTTTTCTTTTACTAGCATTACTTTTATTGGGAAATATTTATTATAGTTTTTTAAGAAAATGTTTTCAAATTTAGTGTAAGCAGAGTTGGTGCGTCCAAGGTTACATTCTTGGTATACTTTATCCCAGTTTAATGCCGATAGTGATTCTTTAAATTGTTGAATAGCATATTTGTTAATTTTCCTTTTATGAATTTCAATTTTACAGTCGTTAGTAGTTTTTGTATCGTGTGACAGAGAAAAGAAAATCGGAAAATGATCCGAAATATCTGTTTTTATGATACCTGCTTTTAAAGTAACATCAAGAACTGTATTTGTTAATATATTGTCTATTGACGTTACTGATGATTGAGTTACCCGAGTCGGCTTATTAATAATTGGGAAGATGTAATGTTGGAGCATTTCGTCAAAAAAAAATTTAGTTTTAGCATGTTTATCGTATTGTAAGCAATCAATGTTAATGTCTCCAATACAAAATAGTTTTTTTTGTTCATTGTTATTTTTATAAAAAATTTGTTTTAAATGATTAGAAAATTTTGTTATATCACCATCAGGTGGTCTATAACATGTGGAGACTAAAATGTTTTTTGATTTGTTATTTGTTGTTATCTCAATTGTAAAGACCTCACTATCGGCATCTGAGGTAGAAAGGTCATGTCTATATTTGGTGGCTTGATCAGTTCGAATATAGTTAATAATTCCCCCTCCCCTTTCGTTAGTTTTTCTTTCAGAAGATATTAATTTGTAATTAGGAATTTCTAAGTTTGAATTTATTCTAGACGATTCGTCAGAACACCATGTCTCGGTTAAACAAATCATACTGAATAAATAATTGCATTCGGTTAGAAATTGCTTAAGCTTATCAATGTTGTTATTTATGCTTCTTATATTTATGTGTAATGCAGTGAACTTATTCCTTAAAGTTGTAAGTTCAGTTTTAAAAGTTTCTGTTTCAAAATATTGAGAACCAAAATTTATTCCGCGAAAAATCTGCGCATCTGCGTCATTCAAATCGTTGAGTATAACATTATTTGCCGTTTCGAAGACATTAAAGTGCAGCGTTTCAAAATCTATTGTTTCGTTATTCATTATGCTTAAAATGAGAAATTAAAAGCGCTTTGAAAGAAAAAAAAATTAAGAAAAATACGCATCGCTACTTTTTAAAATCTCGACTAAATATTTTATTATATTTTAAAATGGCGTATTTACCTTCACTTCGAAGTCGTTTCACCTCTTCCCAAAGTTTCCTTCGTTGTTCAATCGTTTCTCGCGAAAAGTCCTCGTTAATATACACACCAGTTCCTTTAAGATTTTTTACAGCATTTAGGATTTTGTTTTTATCCTGGAAATTTAACAGTTTTAATACTATTGTTCTAGGTTTTTTATTATTAATTGGGCCAATTCGATGGGCTCTTTCAATAACCACTTCGCTTGATATTTTAAGATTTTTATTAAAGATTTCTTTCACTGCAATTTCACACTCGCTGTGAGATCTTAATTTATCTGACTTCAAATGTTTATTTTAAAGTTTAATAAAATAAAAACAAATTTATTTGTATCAATGAAATTTAAGTAATGATGTTAAAAATTCATCTTGTGATGTTAATTATGAAATTTTATTTTTTTATTTAAAACTTTTTGTTTAAATGATTTTTAAATATTTTAGTGGTTGTTAGCATTTCAACAATTCTTAATTATTTGCTATTTTGAACTTCTTAATTTTCTCAGTTATTTTCTGTTTTAATTCTGATCTATATTTCATATATTTGTATTATATATATTTGTATGTTACGGTTATGTAGAGTTTTTTTTATGTAGATTTTTTTTTTTTGTATGTGGGACTCGGCGATAAGGCAAACTGTGCCTTCTTGCTCCTGCCATTAATTTTGATATATGTGCATGCAATGTAAACATTCTTTAACGGCGAAACAAATTACACCACAAAAAAAAAAAAAAAAAAAAAAAGTGGACTTTGAAAAGTCCATAATCAAAGCCCATTATTGCCTAATAACGACGAGGAAGGTGACTGGAAACATAAGCATTATTATTCATTTATACACAGTTATTTAAATTATCCTAACATCGCCTGGGGTAGTACAGAAAAAAGCAAGTTGCAACGTCTTTATCGCCGTCAGAAACATGCTATCCGTTTAATCTGCTTTGCAAATCGCTTTTCTCACGCAAAACATTATTTTATTGAAATGAGAATTTTAAATATATACGAGCTAAATATATATAATGTTTTATGCTTTGTATACATGTGGAAAAATGACTCGTCTCAATCTGTCTTTAAAGATATTTTTACTCCGAAACCCATCAACAAATACAATTTGAGAAATACTGATTTTTTAAATGAACCTTTCTGTCAAACGAACTTTAATCAATTTTGTATTGCCTATCGTGCTCCACACCTTTGGAATAAAATTGTTTTGCCCAATTTTGACTTCGAACTACCCATTACTTTTCGTTTTTTTAAAAGTAAATTAAAAACCCTAATTTTTTCATTAGAAGACGTATTATGTTATTATTAATAATATAAATTAATAACTTTGCCTTTTCTTATTTATATTTGTAAAAAGTTTATTCTTACTTATTTTGTTGATTTTATATTCTTTACTTAACGTATACGTTTATATAAAATATTGGTGAGTAGATCCGCGTGATCTCTCTTTGGATTATATAATATATATTTGGATTACATATATATGAAATTTGTAAAAATTTGATACTGTTAATGCTTGTTTGAACTTATTTAAGGTTCTGACGACAAGATCCTTTGATCTTCTTTCAGATACCTTATTTTATATTTGTGAAAGTTTATTATTATTATCATTTTTTTTTTTTTGGTAATATATAGTTGTAATACGACCAACAAATGTAAAATTAAAAAAAAAAAAAAAAAAAAAAAAAAAACTTTAGCAGCCGAGGTGTAATGGTTAGAGTTCTGGCTTCAGAACTAGAGATGCTTTCTTCAAAGCCTTCCTGGATAAGTTCTATTCTACTGTGCTCTGTGACAAGACTACTTGGATGTCTTGAAGTACCTTTAAAAAACTGCACAAAAGGTTATATAGGATTTAAAAAAAAATTTTGTTTTCTGATAAAATTTGTTATAAATAATCGTATATTTTGTAATATGTTAAGATACTGCAATAGTAATTAATGAAAGTTACTATTATCAGGTAGTATCATTGATTATTTTTATTATTTACTCAAAATACTATTATTAACAAATAGCTTTAGTCAGGGCCGGCGCGAGTAGGTGTCACGTGGGGGGAGGGGTGCCATTACATTTTGCCGACTAAAAAAAAAAAGTCCTCGTTTTCCAAAATTTGCCGACTACCATGACGACATTTGCCGACTGTCTAGATTACCAACTAACCTATATCGAAAGGGTCGACATTTGCCGACTAACTAGTCTAAAAGGGTCCAATTTGCCGACTAAGGGTCCAATTTGCCGACTAAAAATCGTTGATGGGGGGTGTCAAACCCACCACACCCCTCTATCGCGCCGGCCTTGGTTTTAGTAAGTTATAAATATAAGTTAATAAAGTTAGTTAAGCTTAAGCGAGCCTTATACCTTAAACACATCTTTATTTTGTATTTATTATTAGGCGGATACGGAAAAATCTTAGCTAAAAATTATGATTCCTCTAAATCCATTAATGCTTTTTATTTTGCACTTTTTTTTAGATACAAATGTATCAAGTTTTACGGTCATCGGTATTATTAATAAGTTTAAGACTATCCAAAACATCAGAAGAAATCTGGGAAGTGAAAAAAAAAAAAACTTTCCATAAATCTAAAGGTGAAATTTATTCTTAATTGAATAGTAAGAAATCCGAATCAAGCGCAGAAAAATCTAGCTAAAAAAAATTCAAGAAGTTAATTGCTTATGTCCAAAAATAAATAAATGCACCTAAAAGAAGCCTGTATAGAGAAATAAAGAAATTCGACTCTCAAAGAAGTTCATGGAAATAATACTTAATTTAAAACATAATAATTTAAAAGTAGTTTAAAATAAAAAACTTTTAGGTTTGAGAATAATTTAACGGATTTTTCCGCGTCCATCTAATATTACTAAAATATTCCTTTAGTACATTAAGAAAGCAATTTATTGATATTTAAATTCATTGATATCTAAATTTACTGATATCTAAATTTATCGATATCTAATTTGTTCTTATAACTTTAATCATTAGTTATTTTAGTTTACAAAAGAAAGTGTTTAAATTATAAAATATCAGTGTTTAATATTTTATATATTTTTATTTTATTTGATATTTTATACATTTGATATTTATTTTATAAAAGTTAAACCTGTTACATGTCACCTTTTTTTTTTCAGAGTATATAATTTTCTATGGATAAGCTATGTATTGTTGACCACGCAATGTTTGCACAGTTGATGATGAAATGAGTTAAGCCGTATCATATTGATTTATGAACAAACTTAATACGTCATACGTCAAAGTTTAGGTTTAGGCCCAAGATAAAATTTCTGATACTATTGCGTCAATCAGAAATCGTTAAATTTAGTTGCATAACGATATCCAGTTCAGAAAAAACTTTTATACAGCAATTTCATTTGATTAAGACTAGTGCCATCTAAACTCTAGTGTTAGTCAATCTCATTGACTACTTATTTTCTAATTAAATCTAAATGTGTCAGATATTTTGCATATATATATATATATATATATATATATATATATATATATATATATATATATATATATATATATATATATATATATATATATATATATATATATATATATATATATATATATACACATATATAATATATATATATATACACACACATATATAATATATAGTATATATGCACATATATTTTTAGTTTAATTTTGCTATGAGCACCAAAAATATCAAAAGAATTATAATGAGCCACAACAAGAAATCAGTTCAAAAAGACTAAAAGAATACCCACCCTGCAATTGCATAAATAAAGAAAACTGCCCTATAATAGGAAACTGTAGAACCTCAAACGTTATTTATAAATGTATAGTATCCCCCCCCCCCCCAACACTCCAGAAAAAGTATATATTGGCCTAGCAGAAGGTGAATGGAAGAAAAGATGGGCTAACCACAAACACTCATTTACAAACAAAAAGGTGAAAAATTCAACCACCCTTTCAAAGTATATATGGCAGAAAAAATAAAACTTAAAAAAAACACCCAAATTAACCTGGTCAATAATTAAACAAGGCCCCGCCTACAGCAGCGTCATATAAAAAAATGCTTGCTTTGCCTTCATAAAAACTTTGTATATTATCATACAAAGGTACGCAAGAATTATTAAATAAAAAACAGAAATAATATCCAAGTGCCGTCATGAAAACAAGTTCTTGCCTGACAGCCATGAGCCTAAAGATTAAAAAACCAAACGACGCTTGCAAACAGTGACATTTTATAATTGTTTTTGAACGTCACGATGTTTATTAAGAGTATATTTTTTAACAAAAAAAAAATAATAATGTATTTTTACCTGATGATTGTTTAACGCATAAAACTTTTAGTAGTAAAAATTATGTAGTTATTTTTTATTTAATCTAAATAATTATTTAGTTTTCACTATATATATATATATATATATATATATATATATATATATATATATATATATATATATATATATATATATATATATATATATATATATATATATATATATATATATATATATATATATATATATATATATATATATATATATATATATATATATAGTGAAAACTAAATAATTATTAAGATATATTTCAATTACATAACTAAAAGTTTCACGCAATAGCGATCATCAGATGTAACATCTGATGATCGCTATTGCGTGAAACTTTTAGTTATGTAATTGAAATATATCTTAATAATTATTTAGTTTTCACTATATTATTTGCTCTACTAATTATATAAAACGCTGTATTGAGCACTCTTACTGGAAATATTAACATAATTCCTACAATATATATATATATATATATATATATATATATATATATATATATATATATATATATATATATATATATATATATATATTTATGTTTTTATTTATAAACAAAAAAGTTATTACTGTTTGTTAGTTTAGTAGACTAAAAAGTTTAATAATTTGAATTTCATGGTCTAAAAAATATTTACTAGCATATCCTAAATTGCGTTATAAATCTATTGATTTATAACTTTACTAAAATATTTCTAACTCTGAAGTGTTTCACACTTAATACTTAGAATTGTCTCTGTTCGTTGCTGGGAGGCGCAAAAGATGTTTGTATTTAGTTTAACATTTTTGTTAATAAACATTTATTACTATTTTTAACTCAAGTAAAATCATGGAAAATAATGACGTCTTGGTTTAAATGTAACTGTTGTTTGCTTTTGTTTTTATGTAAAAAAATTTTGAGAAATATTGAAATGTTTTATCATTTATTTTTACTGCGTCAGGTAAGGAAAGTTAAAGCTAATATTTCATTTTTAAAAATTTATTTTCTAAAAAATTTATCTGTTAGACAACACGAACATGTTTAGCTCAGGCAGCTCTAGAGTTTAAATACACAGAAATGTTGTTAAACTTATCATTTTTTTTTCGTTTCTATGGTGAAACACGCGTATACATCGAAGTAAAAATCTATATTTAAAAAACATATTCATTTCAAATTTTAGTTCTTGCTAATAGGGATTTGATACGAATCCTTTTAAATTGGCTTTACGATAAGAAGATAACCTCGATGGTAAGATTGTCGAATAACTTAAGTTTGTTAATTTAAAGTTACATAAGGTTATCTAAAATATAAATAATAAGTAAAGAACCAAATTAAATATTTAAATTGCTTGATTTATAACGTAATTTATAAAAAAATTTAGAGTCTAATGGTGAAAAAATTAGTTGTGTTATGTTTTGTTTGTCGATGTTTAATTGTTATTGTATGCATTAAACATATGTATTGTATATTTTATATACCATATATCTGCTTACTTAATAGACAATATTATAACAACGAATACTTTTGATGAAAGCTTTAAAAAGGTATAATTAAAAGTATCAGAAATTCAATTTTACAATATCTCAATAAATACGGACACGGAATTAACACTTAAGCATAAACAAGTTCTCATAAAACGCCGTTTTAACGAAGTAAATGTGACACTATTAAAAGGATAATTATTTCCACTTCACTGGAAACATATAAACAATTTATTTAAAGCAAAAAAAGCTTTTAAAACGTTTTGTGAAACTTTCTTTGTAATAAATCATGTAGACTTTCCACATTGGGGAATAAGATTGACAAAAGTATAAAATCACCGTTGATCACTAACTCAGTAAATTTTTCAAAAATAAAACAAAATCTCAATTAACGCTATTTACTAATTTCGTCATATGAATTTTACAATGTTTTTTTTTTAAAGTATAAAGAAAGAAAAATTTCGACTGGAGCTGGCTAGCAGAATACAAGTCTTATCATCCAGCCCCGTTGATATAAATTGTTTATAGCAGTATATAGTTTCTCAGGGGCGGATACAGTATTTTTTGGTGTTTGTTGATTATTTATCTTAAGTAACAAAAAAATCTGTATATGCCCCTGGTTTAATCAAGAAAGAAGACAGTTATTTCTACAATTTTAAAATATTTTTTTTTAAGTTTAAATTTAAAAATTTTTGGAAAGGAAAAGGTTTTTAAAGTAGAGCAGTATTATTTTGCGTCTAAGTTCAATAAGTTTTGTTTTATGGCACGTTTAAATAATTGGATCGAATCTTTTTGTTATTAAATTCACATCCTTAAAGCGAGTTATTAAAAAATAAGTTTGTTTTGATAATGTTTTGGGTATGACAAAGTTTTCCATTGAGCGCTTGGTTTGGTATTTTTGGTTTATAGAAATAATGCTACTTTATAAAATTGTTGGTATTAACAAATATTTAAGTTAAAAAACAAATATTATAAATATCTATTTCATAGACAATAAGCACTTCAAATTCTTTTAATAGCGATTTAGCACTAGTATTTGTATTAACATTAATTTTTCGAGATGACATTTAACATTGATGGGTATATACTTAAAGTATTTAAAATCAGAAATTAACATAAATAGGATTGATAAAAGTTATTTAAAAAAAATTTAAATTTAAAACAAAAAAACAAAAAAAAAACATAAAAAAAAGACAACACATTTAAAAATTTTTCATATAAAACAAGTTTATAGGAAACTAAATAATAATTTAATGCAATCTATCTAAAAAAAAAAAAAAAGAAGTTCAATTTAAAAAATCTATCTTTCTAAAGTTATTTAAATTTATGAAAATTTTTTCTTTATACTTTTAAAATTATTTATTTTAGCGAAATTAACAGTAAATAGATTTAAAGTTTCTAAGAAAAAAAGTAAAAGTTCTAATAACATGCTAAAAATCAATAAGGTTCACATGATATAAATTAAGGTGACCATATTTGAAAAATACCAGACGCGTACAAGGAATAAATTTGGTATGTATAAATACAAACTGTATTTAAATTAGGCCCGTAGCCTGATTTAAATATCATTTATGGTATTTAAATCAGGGGGAGCACTTTTTCAAGAGGCGCCAAAAATTACATAAAAATAAAGGCGCCCAAAAGCAATTTTTTTTCGGCGTCTATATTCACCTTTTTTTTTAACAAGATTTTGCATAAATTTAATAAAATGATTAATTGTACTTTTTACATTTTCGAGATGGTTTCACTTTGCCCTTTTTTGTTCTGTACTAACAGTTTTTGAATATATGTTTAATTTCAATTTTTTAGTAGCCAAACAGGAGAAAGCGCAGGGGAGTACATGCCTCCCTCGCTCCCACCCTGCCTACGGGCCTGGTTTAAATGGGTTTTACTAAAAACTCGCTTATTTATTTTAAATTTAGCATGTGAAGTAACTAAATTACGGAAAAAATATTAAACAACATTAGTTTTTTTAAATCACAAATATTTTTTATAAAAATGAATTGTTTTCAGCAACATGTCATTTTTTTCAAATTTTCTGCAAATTCTGAGCAGCTATATTTTCTTAAATTAAATTTAACGAACAAAATAGCTGCCAAAGTTTTCATTGTAAGTTGGGATTTCCCTTCAAATTTCATTGGCAATTGAAAATAATCGCTCTACGAAAACGTTTGTACCTGGCAAACATAAAGCAGCTTCGACCAATTTTAACAAAGGAACGTGATTATTTTAGAAATAAGAAAAAATTTCAACCCATCGCTTGTCACATTCAACAGACTGTCAGTTCCAAGAAAAAAACTTTTTCTTTGTGCAATATAAATTCGTTCTCCGAATTTCGTTGAACAACTCATTGTCATCGAATGTGATTTGTATTGATTTTTTCAAAAAAGTTATAGTTTCAATAATTTCAATCCAATCAACTTTACAGTTAAGTAAAGACCATTTATAAACTTCAACCTGATTAAAGTGGTGCGCCCACTCATCTATATACTCTAGACAGACACTGTAAAAAATGTCTACTTCTTTTAGAAATTGGTTTTTTAAATGATGACTACTTTCTTCGGTAACTTGCAAATGCTGTCTTACCATGAAAGGTAGAAATTTTTCTTCTTTTATTGATTTTCTTTGGTCTTTCAAATCCTTTATTACTATGGCAACTTCAGCAGCAGAAATATCATCTTTCTCAATTTTTTTACCGTGTTATAAAAAACATTGGCTTTACTGTGAACAAAAAACAATACTATGTCACCCATTTAGTTATTGAAAAAGTTAAATAAAAGTTTCGAAGAATTTTCTAAGCTTAAAAAGTATGATTTTAGTGGCTGATATAACTTGAGCACTCGTTCGATAACTGGCCAACCAACAAACTTTTGAGAATCCTAGCAATTTTTGATATTCCACACCGGCCTCATTGCAGAAATTTTCTAAACTAGAAACTCAAACAGTAAAACGGTAAAAAAATAAATAAATTTGAGGAATAATTATCTCCACATCAATAGATAAACAACCAGATGCAGTGTTTATTGTGTTTGATAAAATATGAGTATTGCAACCGATACTAACAATTTCACGGTTTAGCTTAACGATGACCTTTTTGTGAATATTGTTATTACCGTTTCGTTTTAAACCTCCGAAATTGGTATTGGTGTTGTCTGCAGAAATAGCCAAAACTTTTGAAGAAATATTGTTAGCACTAATGCATTTAAAGATAACCCCTCTTTAACATCGAAATAACAAGAAGCCAAAGTTGGATTCATTTCAACGTCCTTGTGGTTTGATCCATCAGATAGAATTGACACAAATAATGCTTTTAATAAAGCATTTTCTGAGTTAGTTTCACTATACTTTTTGAACACGTTTACAATTATTTTTTCACATTTTGTACGCGCATTACAAAAAAAAAATCGGATTACAAAATTTCTTAATTAGTTTTAATGTACAATCAGCACTTCTAAAGCTATGGTTGTGTTTGATTGTGTAGAATGCAATTGTTCTTTCTTGAATGGCTAATTCTTCTTCATTTTGACCAAAGCTCTGACTCTTCATCAACTTTGTGATTCTATTTGACGATATAGAAGCATCTAATGCCATTTTGTGTTTGATAGATTTGCAATGATCTTCAATTGCAGACCGTCCACTACTACTAATGTCAAATAGGCTTTGACAAATAGTACATTTGAGGAGCTCATCTTTGATCTGCATTAAGAAAGGAAACATTTTCTTTAAATTGTTATTAAATGTGTTTAACCTTCTCTTCTTACTATTCATTTTTTGAATTTGATGTATAAATAGTTATAATTACTTGCCTATGAACACTTATTTTTATGAACTTCTTATTAAAATAAATCGCTAAGCGTTATTTACAATAATTAGGAAAAAAAGACATTACAAAGCAAACAAAATTTGCGTAAAACGAGCGCATTTTCTTTGTTGAAGTGGAAAAATCTTACGAAGTAATTTTTTTTTCTTCTTTAATGGGAATTTTAAAAACTTTTTTTTTAAATTACGTGTTTTAATTCGTTTAGTTTCGTGTTTTATAGTTATGTTTATTGGAATTGTATTCATTTTGTTTTTTAACTATATTTTAGACAACTCATTTATTAAAAGTTTTTTAAATATTACTTTTTGAAAGAATTTTATTTTATTTTTTTTAATATGTAAACGCGTACACAAACGCGAACAAACCTCAAACGCCCAAAACTACCGTCAAACGCTTACTGTACGCGCCAAACGCGTACTTATCGTCACCTTATATAAATGGTAACAATATATATATTGTATACAGTAGCGTCCTAAAGTTTAAAGACAGTCACTTATTTCGCTATAAATTTTGAATGAGGCATTTAATGTTTTTGAAATTTCTAATTAATATACCTAATAATATAATTTATCTGAAAATAATAATCCGGGCAAAATAGACAAAAAAAAATAGTGGTAGATTTGCAATAATTCGCATATAGCTGAAAATTGGTACGTACCTTGAGCACATTATAACAAATAAAGTATTTAAAAGTCCCCATCGATCTGCAAAAAAAGTTATTCAAGGTCAAAGGTATAAAAAAAAGTTGTTTTTTTTTTTTAAAAAAGGAAATGTTTTAGCATAAAAATAGATCAGTCAAATGCGAAGTTCGCATTTTAACGCATTTTAACGCAGTTCGCATTTTAACGCATTTCAATGAAGTTCGCATTTTAACGAAGCATTTTAACGCATTTTTGAATAAACTGTTTCAGCGGCTTTTTTTTGATCTTGTATAAGAACAATTAAAA